TGTACAACTTCTAAGACCAGGTTTTGGATGACGTCCAGAATTATCTCACTCTGGCTTTGTTGCTTAGTTGGCTTGAGGATTATAACCAGGGGCCCCCACTTCCTGTTGGCTCAAGGCCTTGAAACAAAATGATTATTCCACAAATTTCAGCTAATAATGGCACATACCCATTAGCGCATATCCCTAGCCTGGTACACACAACCTGTCAATTAGTCTGGGACTGGCTTTCATGCCTGAGAATAACTAATGTAAGCAAAGCACTGACATTGACAAGAACGTAGTGTGAGAACAAAAACCTGGCATGCACTTCCATTGTTTGGAAAAACCGCTACACGAGAGAACGGTGGGTTATGGGTTTGTAAAGCTTTCTCTTGTTTCCCACTAGGCGCTGGAGTCATCAAAACATCTACTCTGGTGTTAGGGTGAGTTGTCAACTAATGTTAAATCAGTGAACAATACTAATCTCATTGGATCTAGGTCAAATGTAGAGTAAAAGAAAAATGAAGTGGTCCAAATTGGAGCTAACCATTGCTCTTCATATAGCCTTTAGCATAGTAGTTTGAAGCATATTTGTATCATTAATTTACCAAAATCAAGACCAGGCGACCTTTTGATTGGTGAGAAATGTTTGACACTTAGCAGACAGGTCGGACATTGGTTTTGGGGGAATTTCTAATCTGACTTCATATTGCTTCTAAATATACATTGTCATTAAGAAAAATTATTGTTTTGGGGGAAGCTGAACAATACTATTTTATATATTTACGTAAGTGATATTTTCTATATTGTTGCTGCATTATTTGCTGATCAGATTTTGCTCTGTGGAAAATGTGCAGTACCACACGTTGCATTTAGTGACGTCAAAAGCCACACTAGCCATCACACAGCACATGAGAACGTGGAGTCTGTAACATATAGAGATACATAAACCCACCTTGTGCTATACATACTGTATTCACACAGAATGGTGATGAAAGCCTACTCGAAACACACCTTATTTGAATTGGGAAATCCACTATGGAAAAGGGTGTAATGGCATAAAGAGACACTTTTCCAGTTCTTTCGCAAGGTCTTATGGTATTAAGGCAACTTTGACCCACACTATGTCAGCCTGTAGAGATCTTTTATACCTACTACAAAGAAATAATACATGAACACAAATGCAACCATATATATTTTTTTGTGCGTCACAACTACTTCAAGTATGTTTATTTTTTTATTTAACCTCTCCGGGAATCATCACCTTAACGTGGTGGAGAGGTTTGTGTGCCCCTATGAACCTGAGGGCTGGGTTGTCTGGAGCTTCATGCTCCTGGTAGGGTTTCCCAAGGCAAAGTGGTCTCAGGCGAGGGGCCAGACTAAGAATGGTTCACCAAGACCCCATGAAAGATAGAGGGAAAAGGAGCGAGACCCTGCCTGGAGGAAGCCCAGGGCCCTCGTCTGGAGCCAGGCCCAGACGGCGGGCTCGAAAGCGAGCGTCTGGTGGCCGGGTTTGCCACGGATCTCTCGCCTCTCCATCCTGTGGGCCCACCACTCACAGGAACAACCGCAGGGGTCGGGTGCGCTGTCATATGGGTGGCAGTGAAGGTGGGGGGTCTCGACGGATCAGACCCGGGCGGCAGAAGCTTGCTTTGGAGACGTGGAACGTCACCTCGCTGGGGGGGAAGGAGCCAGAACTTGTGCGTGAGGTGGAGCGATACCAGTTAGATCTGGTGGGACTTACCTCTACGCACAACCGTGGCTCTGGAACCTTACTCCTGGATAGGGGTTGGACTCTGTTCTTCTCTGGAGTTGCCCAGTGTGAGAGGTGTGGGGATACTCACGAGCCCACGTCTGAGCACGGCGGTGTTGGAGTTTACCCCGGTGGATGAGAGGGTTGCCTCCCTACGCCTAAGGGTGGTGGGGGGGAAAACTCTGACTGTTGTTTGTGCACATGTGGGCATCGATGGAGACACCTGGAGAGGCGTGATTGGGAGAAACGGCCTCCCTGATCTAAACCCGAGCGGTCGTTTGTTATTGGACTTCTGTGCTAGTCATGGATTGTCTATAACAAACACTATGTTCGAACATAAGGAGGCGCATAAGTGTACATGGTACCAGAGCACCCTAGGCCGAAGGTCAATGATCGATTTTGTGATCGTATCGGCTGATCTAAGGCCGCATGTTTTGGACACTCGGGTGAAGAGGGGGGCAGAGCTGTCAACTGATCACCATCTGGTAGTGAGTTGGATCAGAGGGTGGGGAAAGACTTTGGACAGACCAGGTAAGCCCAAACGGGTAGTGCGGGTGAACTGGGAACGTCTGGAGGAGGCCCCTGTCCGAAAGATCTTCAACTCACATCGCCGGCGGAGCTTTTCAGGCATCCCTGTGGAGGTTGGGGGCATTGAACCTGAGTGGGCAATGTTCAAAGCTTCTATTGCTGAAGCTGCGGCGCTGAGCTGTGGTCTCAAGGTCCTAGGTGCCTCAAGGGGTGGTAACCCTAGAACACCGTGGTGGACCACGGTGGTCAGGGAAGCTGTCCGACTGAAGAAGGAGGCCTTCAGGGATATGCTATCCCTGGGGACTCCGGAGGCAGTTGCAAGGTACCGACAGGCCCAAAGGGCTGCAGCCGCTGCCGTGTCAGAGGCAAAGCAGCGGGTGTGGGAGAAGTTTGGAGAAGCTATGGAGAAGGACTTTCGTCGCTGTCCGACTGAAGAAGGAGGCCTTCAGGGATATGCTATCCCTGGGGACTCCGGAGGCAGTTGCAAGGTACCGACAGGCCCGAAGGGCTGCAGCCGCTGCCGTGTCAGAGGCAAAGCAGCGGGTGTGGGAGAAGTTTGGAGAAGCTATGGAGAAGGACTTTCGTCGCTGTCCGACTGAAGAAGGAGGCCTTCAGGGATATGCTATCCCTGGGGACTCCGGAGGCAGTTGCAAGGTACCGACAGGCCCAAAGGGCTGCAGCCGCTGCCGTGTCAGAGGCAAAGCAGCGGGTGTGGGAGAAGTTTGGAGAAGCTATGGAGAAGGACTTTCGTCGCTGTCCGACTGAAGAAGGAGGCCTTCAGGGATATGCTATCCCTGGGGACTCCGGAGGCAGTTGCAAGGTACCGACAGGCCCGAAGGGCTGCAGCCGCTGCCGTGTCAGAGGCAAAGCAGCGGGTGTGGGAGAAGTTTGGAGAAGCTATGGAGAAGGACTTTCGGTCGGCACCAAAATGCTTCTGGAAAACCGTTCGGCACCTCAGAAGGGGAAAACGGGGAACCATCCAAGCTGTGTACAGTAAGGATGGGACACTGTTGACCTCAACTGATGATGTGATCGGGCGCTGGAAAGAGCATTTTGAGGAGCTCCTGAATCCGACCTACACGCCCTCTAGTATAGAGGCAGAGCTGGAGGCTGATGGAGGGTCATCGTCAGTTTCCCTGGGGGAAGTCGCTGAGGTAGTCAAACAACTCCACAGTGGCAAAGCCCGGGGGACTGATGTGATTCGTCCAGAAATGCTAAAAGCTTTGGGTGGGGAAGGGCTGTCTTGGTTGACACGCCTCTTCAACATTGCATGGAAGTCTGGGACACTGCCAGAGGAGTGGCAGACCGGGGTGGTGGTTCCCCTCTTCAAAAAGGGGGACCAGAGAGTGTGTGCCAATTACAGAGGTATCACACTACTCAGCCTCCCTGGTAAAGTGTACTCCAAAGTGCTGGAAAGGAGGGTTCGGCCAATAGTCAAACCTCAGATTGAAGAGGAACAATGCGGTTTTCGTCCTGGCCGAGGAACCACGGACCAGCTCTTTACTCTCGCAAGGATCCTGGAGGGGGCCTGGGAGTATGCCCATCCAGTCTACATGTGTTTTGTGGATCTGGAGAAGGCGTATGACCGGGTACCCCGGGATCTTTTGTGGGAGGTGCTGCGGGAGAATGGGGTGAAGGGGTCTCTTCTCAGGGCCATCCAATCTCTGTATGCTCAAAGCATGAGCTGTGTCCGTGTTCTCGGCAGTAAGTCGGATTCGTTCCCGGTGGGGGTTGGCCTCCGCCAGGGCTGCGCTTTGTCACCAATCCTGTTTGTAATATTCATGGACAGGATATCAAGGCGTAGTCATGGGGGGGAGGGGTTCCCGTTCTGTGGGCTGATGGTCACATCACTGCTTTTTGCGGAATATGTGGTCCTGATGGCCTCATCGGTCGGTGACCTTCAGCACTCACTGGATCGGTTCGCAGCCGAGTGTGAAGCGGCTGGGATGAGGGTTAGCACCTCTAAATCTGAGGCCATGACTCTCAGCAGGAAACCGGTGGAGTGCCTACTCTGGGTAGGGAATGAGTCCTTACTCCAAGTGAAGGAGTTCAAGTACCTCTGGGTCTTGTTCGCGAGTGAGGGAACAATGGAGCGGGAGATTGGTCGGAGGATCGGAGCAGCGGAGGCGGTGTTGCATTCGCTTCACCGCACCGTTGTAACGAAAAGAGAGCTGAGCCGGAAGGCAAAGCTCTCGATCTACCGGTCAATCTTTGTTCCTACCCTCACCTATGGTCATGAAAGCTGGGTCATGACCGAAAGAACGAGATCGCGGGTACAAGCGGCCGGAGTAGAGCCGCTGCTCCTTTGCGTAGAAAGGAACCAGTTGAGGTGGTTCGGGCATCTTGTACGAATGCCACCTGGGCGCCTCCCTAGAGAGGTGTTCCAGGCACGTCCAGCTGGGAGGAGACCTCGGGGAAGACCCAGGACTAGGTGGAGAGATTAGATCTCCACACTGGCCTGGGAACACCTCGGGATTCCCCAGTCAGAGCTGGCTAATGTTGCCCGGGAAAGGGAAGTTTGGGGTCCCCTGCTAGAGCTGCTACCCCCGCGACCCGACCCCGGATAAGCGGTTGAAGATACCACCCCTTGAGGCACCTAGGACCTTGAGACCACAGCTCAGCGCCGCAGCTTCAGCAATAGAAGCTTTGAACATTGCCCACTCAGGTTCAATGCCCCCAACCTCCACAGGGATGCCTGAAAAGCTCCGCCGGAGATGTGATATATGTGCAATGACAGCTGGGGAGAAGCTGGGGATTGAACCCAGGACATCATAAAACCAAAGCAGGCACTCTACCACCGAGCCACCGACTCCTCTATCTACTAGCCAATATTATTAACAATGTTTACCCCACAGTAATCATATTACGAAATGTGATCACCTTATGAATAGTTTATATTGCTCAGCCTATTTGTTCACGTGTCAACAGTTTACACATTTGTAAATCATTTGCTGGCTGTGATTTACTCGTTAGCTCTTAATAAAGCAAAGTACGGGTTATCATTATCATGAGTAATGCTTTGTTTGTGTCTTTGTACATCATTCATTCATGTTAACTACTGTATTTGTTATCGCTAGTTCATGTACCCTTATGGGAAAGTCGTACCCAACCGGGTAATCAATCAAACAAATAGAATTTTACTGTGTTGTCCGTCTCTCCCCTGGTTCTTTTGAGAAAGGAAATGGCCTGATAGGTGCATCATTTGAATGTTCTACTTTGTCGTGTTGCCAGATAACATTTGCCTTTCCTAGACATTCTTCAATACATCTATTTTATGCCACTACAGACACATAAGTTAACTTGACTGATGACACATGCTCTAAACATATTTCATCTCTCTGGTCCAATCAGGTCTTGATCTAGTCTATTTTGGTAGTGCCTGATTGAAGTGAAGACCTCTAATGAGAAGCCTTGTGGTGAAAATGTAACTTCCGCTTTTATTCTAACCTCATCTCATGCTGCCACATTATAATATACAAAAGCAGTAGTCCCTGTAGGATTGTGCTCTAATTGGGGATACCATAATCTGGGATGTGCCATGATTTGGGATGTGCCAGGATGTGCAATGATGTGCCAGGTTGTGCCAGGATGTGCCAGGATGTGCAATGATGAGCCAGGATGTGCCAGTATGATCTGGGATGTGCCAGGATGTGCAATGATGAGCCAGGATGTGCCAGGATGTGCCAGGTCGATCTGGGATGTGCCAGGATGTGCAATGATGAGCCAGGATGTGCCAGGATGTGCCAGGATCTGGGATGTGCCAGGATGTGGGAGTGCATAGATAGAAGCAGAAGACCAGAATGGGTTTACTTGAGTACAGCCATATGTTCTGTAGGTTATGTGAACTATGAACTACTAATGCCAGACACGGCTGATGAAGTTCCCCTTACTAACTGATCTTTATTATGAAATATGGCAATGATAGAGGGGCAAGGAGAAGGAAAGAAGTAGGACAGAGACAAGAAAAGGACAAAGGGAGAACGAGAAAAGGACGAAGGGAGAACGAGAAAAGGACAAAGGGAGAACGAGAAAAGGACAAAGGGAGAACGAGAAAAGGACAAAGGGAGAACGAGAGAAGGACAAAGGGAGAACCAGAGAAGGACGAGGGGAGAACGAGAAAAGAACGAGGGGAGAACGAGAAAAGGACGAGGGGAGAACAGAACAATGGAACAAGAGTCAGGAGGTTAGATAGTGAATGAGAGAATAAAACAGAGGAAGAGTAATCACTCTCTGTATTTGCATATCCTCTCATTACCTTCCCCTCTTCCCCTGATACACATGAACACCTCTAAAACCTTGCTAGCCATTTCATCACCATGACCACACTTTCAAACCTCCACCCAGGCCAACAAAGCATAGATCCTACATCCCTATTGCACGCTCTTAATATTCTTTTCATTCTCTATTCCACGCCACACTCTTAGCTCCCAGCGGAGGTTCTGTGTCTGTCTTCTATAGGCCTATAGCAACGTATCAGAGATAGTTAGCTGCATGGAAATGGGCCAGAAGTATCAGAGGCATCATTGGTCATCAGATAAACACACCGTCTGGATGCATTACTGACTACATGAATGCATTATCTCCCATCCTAAGCAGCCGGTGCTTGAATCGCATCCTAAAGCAGAACAGAGTGCGTGTGTGTTTTAAGCAGAGCAGGCTAAGTGCCAGGGCCAAGGCATTGACGTAAAACAAGGCATTTTCACTCAACATTGGAGCACTGTTCAACGAGAGAGAGAAAGAGAGAGGAGAAGAGTGGACTTTTTTTAAACGTTTGCAGTGAATGGAATGAGTCAGTGTCAGAGGGAACCATGCTTGTCAAATGAAATATGAAATTGGGTCATACGAAATTAGGGCATTTTATAAAGCGCTGTGTCCAAAACGTCCGCCAAAAGATTTCTAGAGACAAATACGTTTAAATACCCTGAAAGCCCTCTTGTTAGAATACTAAGTTGCGGAACATTTTTAATAACCTGTGTCTGAAGAAGTCAGAGTAATAGGAGAGAGACTACTCTAAGTGAGACAGCCAGGCGGCCATTTTATAATGAGGGGTGGAGGCACTGAGCCATACAGCACCACTCCTGTTAGAATCCTTAAATTAAAGAACCAAACCAAGCATGCAGCACATTTCTCCCACCAAATCTCCAGGGCTACCTTTCTCTGAGTGGAATCTCACTTCCACTTGTACGAAACGACGAGCGCAGCTCCCATCTGCTTCTGCAGGTCCTGAGATCTCAGCTGCTGAAGCTTACTTCCTTTTCCAGCGAGTGTGAGCTGAAACTATTTGTGTAGGGTGGAATCATCTGCTTACTTTTTACGCTGGATATGTCGCATTTTCCTTGGGAATCCTTGACAGCTTACTGGATAGGTTCCACCATATTGCGTATTGGTTTATTGCCAGAGGAGATGAGCGAAAGAATCACGATACTAAAAATAATGATTTGGATTTATGTGGACCTTTTTTCATACATAGTGCAGAGAAAATATGCAGCTCTCCTCTGCTCCGCATGTCAGAGAGAGCTTGTTGAGTATCTGTTTCGCTCCCTCGTCAACGCCTTCCTTGGAGTTTAAGTAGGCCTATTGAATAAATTGTCTGCACAAAATCATAAAGACTATGACATTGAAAAACCTTTCAATTTTGTGTTATATCAATGTGCTGAAACACGTTTTATTGGGATTAAAATGGTCTTACAGAAATCAATTTGTTTTCCCAATTGCTAAAATACTTTTAATGAAACATAGGTCAAGTAGATCTCCATTATAACCTAATGAGCACAACAGAATTCTTTGCTTGCAAAACAGTTAGTCATTGGTCTGTCACGATTGGTGTGGTGGCGTTGCTACACTTACATTTCGGTGATGCACTTCCTTGTTTCACTTCCGTGTTTACGTTTGTCTCACGGCTGTTTGCACTTTTAATCAATGGGATATAAGAGGGTCGCGAGCAGTGCACTCATTGCTTCGCATTGTTCTATGTCACATTGTTTGTAGAGGTGAGTGTTTTTGTAACACGTTTGAATTGTTGTTTGTAGGTGCTTGTTTTAAGTCGCTATATGCGCATTTTCCTTTCATTCGACCAGTACGTGTTTTTGTCGCCGTTTACGGTTTGTTTTATGTTTTGTCATTAATAAACCTGACCCAAACGGATTACCTTGGCTCCTGCACATGGCTTCATCCACACTACACCCGACGAGTCGTGACATGGTCGATGCTTCCGCACACATTGGCGACTCTCAGCACATTTTGCAAGAGAAAAAAAACATAACTAAAAACGTAAAACTTAGTTCAGTAAAAATGTTGTCTGAACTATACCCTTGAATGTGTCATAATACATCTCCACACATTTCTTAATTCAACAACCAATTCTTATTCATGCATAAACAAGGTTAGTTTGGAGGCTATTTTTAGAAACTGACCAAATAGGGGTAAGGGAAGAAGAGTTCGATGTTGGTGGAGTATCTCAAAGTAGAAGAGAAATACTCAGGTGAGGTGGAAACACAGGTGATCATTGTTGAACTGATTTACTGAGGGAAGACAGAAAGAAAATACCAAATATGGGCATGTGAGTCAACAAAAGACCAGGAGAGGGCAGGTCAGGACAAGACCAAACATAACCGAACTGGATCCATTTCATCTTGTAATGACATGATCAACACTGTTTCCTTCATCTATGAGTGGTCATAATATTTTGGCATTGGTGTGTAAATTGATTGTTTTTACAGTAATTTCTCATTGTACTTTATTCTAATACTGTATATATATAAAGCTTTTTAAACAGGACGCAGGGAAAATTTGTAAAGGCATTGATTTCTGGATATTCATTCTCGTAACATTCTGCATTGCTTATCTTTAGCAAAATAATTGTATTTAAAAAAATCTTGACTGTAATATATTTACTTGACGTTTTTATTACAAGCTATAATGACAGAGTCAACAAATGGTCTATACATATAAAATATGGCTAATACTTTTATATGTATAGGCCATCCTTTTATGATAGTTGTAGTAAGTTGGCGGTTTCTGTGTAAAGATTGACTAAAATAACCTTTCATGGTCCACAATATAGTTTGGATATTCAGTGCTTCATGCTACATGACAGAAGCCGTTGTATTTTAATTGGATTGCTTGTTGCCATCACTTGTTGGCATCAAAACATTCACTACCAATTCTCATGAGAAATGAGTTTCCCAGTTATGACTATAAACCTACACATGCTGATATTATATCTTAATTTAAACAAGATTCATAGAACTGGCCTGGCTTGCCTGCCATCATCTCTCTAGTCCAATTGGATCATGGACACCTGTTTGTTGTCATTGACCTCAGCTTTGTTTCTCATTACTGTCCCATCTCATGTACAGTGGATATAAAAAGTCTACACACCCCTGTTAAAATGCTAGTTTTTCGTGAGGTGAACAAATTAGTGAAAGACAAATCATGTCAGAACCTTTTTCACCTTTAATGTGACATATAACGTGAACAATAAAATTGAATTGGGAAAGAATTTGTGTGTGTGTGTGTATATATACAATAACCTGGTTGCATGAGTGTGCACATCCTCTTATAACTGGGGCTGTGTTCAGAATTAATTAATCACATTCAAACTCATGTAAAAAAAGAAGTCATTACACACCTGCCATCATTTAAAGTGACTCTGATTAATCACAAATAAAGGTCAGCTGTTCCGGTAGGATTTTCCTGACATTTTCTTAGCTGCATCTCAGAGCAAAAGCCATGGTCCGCAGAGAGCTTCCGAAGCATCAGAGGGATCTCATTGTTGAAAGATATCAGTCAGGAGAAGGGTACAAAAATTATT